TACGCGATGTACGTTTTTTGGGGGAGTAGTTAATGAAAGTGTTCCAAAACGCTACATTAGTTTCTTGACGACCTAGTACTTTAAAATCAACCCAGTTTACTGTTTTCTACAATTTTTTTCAAAATAAGTCTGTTCAATAATTTCAATTTTAGTTCTACGTAGACAATTTCGCTAATACTAGGGTCGATATGTTACGAGTGGCAGCTATTGTCATCAAATAGTAATAATATATTATTGTTACGGTGTTGACGCCTTTTTCTGGCAAAACACAATTATGAAAATTATATTTGTTATAAGTCAATAATATTAGTTATTTGGGGGGGGGGGTAATGAAAGTGTTCCAAAATGCGACATTAATTTCTTGCCTACCTAATATATGCAAGTCAAACAAAAATCGAGTTCACACTAAATATTTTAAAATATCAAATAAAGTTTAGCTACATATTTTTTCAAACAAACCAAAGATTTTTAAATGTATATGAATTAATCGTTTAGCCTTTTCATCAGATTTAAATATTTACTGATATATAATTGATCTTTTGAAATACTCATGTTAAGCAATTTATTTACGAAAGTAATTATTCAGCATTGGTTATATACCTTGACTATAGACCATATTATACTTACAGTGTCTTTGAAGTATATTAAAACAAAAATGCTCTTTTGTGAATCTATTTATTGACTATAGACCATATTATGTTTACAGTTTCGTCGAAATATATCAAAACAAAAATGCTATTTTGTGGATCTATTTATTGGCTATAGACCATATTATGTTTACAGTTTCTTCGAAATATATTAAAACAAAAATGCTATTTTGTGGATCTATTTATTGGCTATAGACCATATTATGTTTACAGTTTCTTCGAAGTATATTTAAAAAATGCTCTTTTGTTGGTCTCTAGCGCAAAGCTGCACAATGGTCTATTTGCGCTCTATCCACCGCAGAGATCATACACTGGATTATAGCGCAATATAAGCCCCGAAGCATACCTCTGAACTCGTAGAGAACAATAAAACGACCATTCTTGAAATATCTACTAACATGACTTGTTTCTTAAATTAGTGAATTTTCTTACCAGCATGGTAACAAAACAACAATATTTATAGAAATTAGATATCTGATGATAATAAGTATGTATATAAACAAGGGATTTTCATTTGTATATCTAACTTTATAAGAACGTCTCTGCTCTCCACTTTATAAGTTGGTTTTAGACCACCCAAATCATAATGAAAAAAAATGTTTAAAGCAAATCATTATCACTGCTTCCGTATTGAATTGTTTGTGTTCACAACTTTTTTTATTTTAAATCATTTGTAAGAGTAAAGGAAATATGTAAGACGTAAAGTTAAAAATTCTGAGGTTCTTATCACATTGCTCCCTTGGCCCGAGGCATACTATTCAGCTAACATCATTCAGAATTGTTATAATAAGTTATGGTTGCTTGATGAAACTGCAAGAACTAGCTGTCGGTCTGCGTATATCGGTGATGAGAGATCGATAATATCTGGGTTTGAGACTATTCGTGAGATTCCATCTTTGTTGTTAAGACCGCAAGCTGTTTTCCTTCTTTCTTTTTCACCCCCTTCTTTTTTTTTATTCGATCTATAAAGCCTTGTTCTGATCTTAATTTTTGAAGGATACCCTGCTCAATAAAAGTAAACCAATGAACAATAATAAAATAAAAAGTCACTTTATCTTGTTTATAAGAGTGTTTGGTCGAAACTTGTAAAAACAAATAAGAAATTGCACAAATGATTTTTCTTACATTAGAACTTTTCCGTGGTGACCTTCAGTATTTCCCAGCCAAGTATCACACTTGTGGAACAACAAAAAGCACTAATATCTGTGTGATATTTGATCACAATGAAACGGAGGATAATTTAAATCACATAATTTTATATGGTACGATATGGATTTTCAGTTTGAGAATGGAATTCAAACTCCGCTATATCATTCGTCTCTGTTAACAAGGCCTTTCAAGAATATCAAAGGCCTGCTGGGTTACACATAGTAATTTTTGATTGAAATGTATTTGTATCAGTTGATTATGGAGCAACGAGTCCTACTGCAGATAGCTTTAATTGAAGGAACAAAATATTTAATATATGTGTGCGTGATATTACATCAAAGTAGAAAATTATTGATAATTCATATTACCTCTTTTTTTTTTACTAACTCAGTAAGGTTTTTTCGGTAAAAAGTATATAAAATCAATCTATTTGTCTTTAGCATTCTACACTTAAGACTTATATATAATGTTTCAAGCCAGCCCAGTGAATTCTAATAATGAGTTAAACGCCTGGTCGACAGCAGTATAAACGAACAGGGTACATTTTAATTGCTATTATGTACTCTCCCTACCAGGGACCAACAGTGGGTCCTAAAAATGATGTGATTTGAATTATTATCTATTTTCTTATGATGTTCTATTACACATATATTACTAACAAATACCACGTTTCGCCACTAAAGGCATACTATACTCAAATGACTGTTATTTTCTCAAAGGTTTGACTAATCAAATAGTATGTTACTACTTTAGCTAATCAAAAGTCATATTTAGTTTACAATGCCTATTAACTTTCAAGTAAAGTAAAGTAAATCTGGTAACATTCATTACAACTTGCATAATACGAAATATATAAATAATACGATACTGTATGAAACTACTATATGAAATTACATCACTAAAATAGATCGCATTGTTTTGTCAACTTTTTATTGAAGCTTAACAACCATATTGAACAAATATACAGAGACACGTATAACAAACTGTGCTTTAGGAAGCTTTTCGGAACCTCTTCTTCAAATGTTTTACCTTTATCATTACTTCTATACTACTTTCTATGCTCCTTTCTTCTTAGTTCACATATAACGCCTGTTTGCTTTTAGATTTCTATCTAAAGGTATCCTAAAGAAACATTTTTACGGTAAGATTTTTTTCCATCTGGTGTAAAGCTTCTGAATGTCTACAAAACGCAGACCTGAGATTTCGTCCTGTGGTTCGATAAGTCCTTCGAAAAAGCAAACATGTTTCACAGCTGAAAACCCGATTTCATTTAAGAATAAGCAACAGATCTGGTTTCGTTAGAAAGGAACCAACGATACCAGGTCTTTAATCAAACACACTATTTTAGAAAACTAAACATTGTCGCATCCACAGCAGCCAAAATGTCTACGCATAATACATTATTACGCTTAGCTCTTACTTTTAGTAGTAACTTTATAAAATAAATCTATAATATTATTTAGCGAAGCTTCACGGTCAGGTGTTGTATTAAATCTAATTCTGACATTTAACACTAATACGAAACTGTTAATATTCTACTTAGTTCTGTATCTAATTGGGGTACAAATTTTATATTAAAGAATAAGTTGAACAAACGCCAAGTTTTTATTTAAAGAAAGATGACGTTTCGTGCTAGCGTTCTTCGTCAGGTCATACAGAATTCAAAGACATTGCGTGCTTAGTATTTGGATGTTGAACGTCAAATTTCTGTGTAAAATTACATTTTTTACATAAATATTATAAGCCATGAAACAATTAAACAGATTGGAAATCAAATAAAAAATAAAATCTAGAGGAAATAAAAGCGTTCATTTAAACCAGATGGTTGTAGGATCTCTAGATTGTAGATCAATCTCCTTTCCAGTCGTTCTCCTTTGTGAATGTTTGTTGGAGCACCAGTAAGTTCAAGAATCGAAAAGTCCCCAACTTTATGGTTGTTGATGGTGAAAATATATGTATAGGTGTATCCTGTTTCCGTAGTTTAATATGGTTTAGATGTTCTCGTGCTCGATCGTCGGGTAGGCAGCCTGTTTGTCCAATGTATAAACTATTGCATTTTTGCAAATTATACAGTCAATGATAAATTCAGTAATACATGTAAAGGACTGCCTAGTGTCGAAAGTTGTGTTTTTACCTCGTATATACGTGGTGCTGTATATTTCTTTAGGTAGATGACACACCTGTTTCGTTTACATGTGTGAGTGCATGGAGTATCATAGTGTTTTGTTTAAAGTACTGTGCACCATGATTTCTTTAACAGACAAAACACCTTCTAATGTTAAGAACTCAGTCTACTTGGACTCACAGCCTTCTGTATCAAATTAACCTTCTTCCAACAATGGGATAAATACTACCAATAGTAAGAAGGCTTAGCCGTGGGCTCACCCTTATATCCAATACTCAGTGACCTCTACATGGAATATTTCGAAGATAACGTTCCCATATCAGATATTCTAAATACCAGGATCAGCCTTAGATACGCAGGAAAACGTTACATATAAACAGTCATATTTTATTATGTCAAAAGTGTCTCTGAAAATATGCAGCATAAAGTCAGAACGGTATTCAGAAGACATAACACAATACAATCGCAGTTACTAAACACCAAATCAGATAAAGATCCAATGGGGATAATAAAGAGACACCATTTACAATATCTATTGTGAATACAGACTCTAATACACTGGAAAACAAAACGACTAACAAATGTCATAATTCAGATATACAACACTGTCTTTGTAATAGCGAACTATCTGCAAAAGGTTATCATGCCAGAGAAGACCACACAATAGAACAGAATAATACTAAAATAATGAGATATGGACCACACGGTCCACAGACAAGAAAAACAAAACAAAAGAAGCATTTCTACATCCATCTAAATGATAATATACTCAATTAACCTATCATAGAAGTCAGAAAAACCTGAATACCCCTTTAAAGACATTCAATTAAGTTAGTTGACTCAACGTCTGATGAAATCTGGGGTGGAATGTACCAGCCTCTCCTTCAAGAACATCCAGGATCGAATCCCTGCCACTACTACAGAAACAGTCCTTCTTAGGACTTCCTTAAGATGGTATCAATATAGCAGCTGAAACGAAGGATAAAAAAACATGGCTAAAAAATAAAATGTAAAAAAAATATTCTTACTAGGGAGCGCTATAGTGCAGTTTGCATGCCGATGATTGTTTAAAAATAGTACAAAAAATGTCAGACTTCGTGTTGCCATTAGAAACGGCTTCTGACAGTTTATTTATAAACATCAGAAGTGTTATTGTAAAACATTACTGCAAATAAAATACAGCAATAACGCTGGTACAACATTATGGTAAAACTGACATGGAAGCAGCAAAAGGAGAGAAAAACTTATAAACATATTTGAACAAAGAGAAGCGGTTGTCGATGTACGTTCGGGCATGTTATGATTCCTATACTTTAGAGAAGTGGAGAGTTGAATGAACCAGTCTTCTTGCAAGATGGTACTCCACCTCCCACCCCCATTGTACGGACTGTCAAGACTTTGCTGAGATTGAGTAATCAACCAATATTTTCCACACACATGACTAGCATGGTATTCATATTTCACCTTTGTTGATTTCTACTATCGAGCCATATCAAGTCTTTGATTTACCGTGACGAGCCTGCTGTTTTGACGGGCATGAAAGACATACGACACCATGTAAAGTGCAACTGTTGAATGTCACACTGTATCATTCAGCTTTGCATCACGTTCTCTCACGATTGCAAGCAACAGTGGGCATGAATACTAGTCACTCTACCATTGTTATAAAATGTTGGCTTGCGTATTCTGTGATCAACGCTTTCTGATGATAATTATTTTTGGCATTAGATTAATTTTCCCCATCGTATCATTACCTCGTTTTCCAAAGCTCTGGCTTGATTAGTTTTCGAATCACGGACCTTAGAAATAAACCAACTAACTTTATAACAGCCTGGTATACCTATCAGTAGCTCATTGACATTAAAGTGGTCATAATATTTATATCATTCATAATCGGAGGGAAGGATCTATTTGAATTACGTCAGCCAAACTTAACTGTAGAAGACATAAAAACCTTTAGGGAATGAAGGAAGACGAATCCCCTTAACTGTAGAAGGAAGACGAATCCCCTAATAGTTACACTCTGAATCAAAATAAATGGATAAATAAGAAAATGCTAATAACTTAAATGTGACTCGACGTCGAGAAAATATATTGATATAGTGGTGATCTCGGAAAAGAAGGGGAATAAAAATGATGGAACATAAGCTGATAAAACTGCTAGATAGAATAAAAAGGATTATGTGCATACTTATAAGGAAACGAAATATAATATATATAAAAAACATGGATCACTCTCGTTATGTCACACGTGTGAATAACATACAACGCTTTTATTTTTTGTATTGGAGCTCAGTCTTTACTTCCACTTTACGTTAATACAATGTATTGTCTTCACAGGAAAACTGATACGTGCGTTTTTAGGTTAAGCGTGCGTTATGTGGAAATAAGTTTGAGATGTCTAATTTTCATACACAACCGTAGTAGTTAATAATTCAAAATCCCTAGAATCCCCTTTGTGCGTAGTTACTTATCTTCCTTACATTTCTCACGTTGTCTACTTATAGCTAGTTGCTCATTATTGAATGGATTTCGATCCATCTAAAGAACGGTTTTAGACACGACTATTTGAGTTGTAGTAGCACCTAGAAAGATTTGACTATTGAAATACCAAAATCTTCGACATGGTTGGTTGTTTTGAATTTTGCGTAAAGCTACACGAGGGCTATCTGCGCTAGCCGTCCCTAATTTAGCAGTGAAAGACTAGAAGAAAGGCAGCTAGTCAGAACCACCTACTGCCAACTCTTGGACTACTCTTTTAGCAACAAATAGTGGGATTGACTGATCCATTATATCGCCCCACGGCTGAAAGGGCATGCATGTTTGGTGGGACGGAGAATCGAACCCACGACCCTCAGATTGCGAGTCAAGCGCCCTAACCACCTGGCCATGCCGGGCAATCTTCGATATCCTTAAAGATATGCATCATTGTTTGATGAAAGCTAATGAAAAATGCCTCACAATCAACAACCAAGAAAACAATTTGGAGATGGGTTATACTGTTAGAAGTGATTCTAAGGTGTATGGTAATAGCTCATGCGAAAAATGTATTTAATTCTAAATTTTACAAAGCATGTTGAGTGGTAAGAAAATTATATCAAAATTAATTTAGTAATGTTTTTACAACAAATAATATTGAGAGATATATCAGATGGCGCTATTCTACCCATAGGTAAACATCATATGGCTAGGCAAATTGACTGAGGTTAAAGCTCAAACTGTGTTAGCCCATAGCTTTCAGCGGAACGTTTCATAGCATTGAATTTCAATATTATTGTTAATTATAGATCGTTTACAATTGTAAATTGAGTTTGTTTATTGTGGTATTGGAACTTCGTTGTTCGACGGTATTGAAACTACGTACTGATGTTCGTTTAATAATTTGGCATTTTTCCAGATTAAAGTTTCTGTGTGTGATTGTAATACTTTATGGAATTCCGTGTATAGTTAAAACAGAAGTACAACGACAACAATTTTAAATTTAAACAGCAGTCTTTAACTTAGTTCCTTTAAATTATCTTTATTTTAAGTAAATGTTTGTTGGTTTTTCTCTACCCATATGTTCTTCGATGGGGCGGTGGTAAGTTAATGGTTTTACAACACTAAACTCTAGGTTTCGATTCCCGTGGTGACCACACCAGATAGCCCACTGTGGCTGTGATATAAAACAAACATTCACTACCCTATAAACGCCAGCTTCTTTTTTCTTTAAATACGTGTTATGCTTCAATTGTTTCTTTTGTATTTGCCTTTATTTTTTATATAAGAAATGTTCTGGTACATATTTTATCAATCATCTTCTATGTACGTTGGATTAAATATGTTTACAACTGTGCTATGACCCTTCCTTTAATATTTATCAATTTTGCATTTCGTGTTTAGAAAATTGAAACGGAACATTGAATTTATTATACAGAGGTACAAGTTTTGTAAACATTATTGGATTATACAGCTAAGAATCGTGACACAAAATTAATTGGATTTTCAGTACTTGCCCACTCCACAGCAACATCTTGATATTTTTAAAACATTTCTTACACAGCCACGATAAATATTGCTCTGTAAAACGGCATTAAAATCTATAAATGTTGCTATAAAGGCGCACATTTTAACAACTATCCATAAACTCAGTATGGAAAAAATTGTAAGCTTTTCGAGTATAAGACCTTGTCTAACATGAAATTGAAATGTATAATAAAGTAAATATATAAAAGAGTTATTTATTCTCATCTTCAGGTACTATTTTTATTTGGGTTTGTTATTATGTTAGCACCTATAGCCTGACTCATCCAAAGTGGAGATATAAGAAAAACTTATTTTAACCAATCGCTAATATTATATACCATATTTATTTATCGATGCTGGTTTTAAAATATTTTCATAGCTTTACCAGAATTTCTCAAAATTCATATTTGACTTTAGAACAAAACATTATATTACAAATCCTTCAATTTTCTTTGGAAACTTACCTATTCTGGAAGTTGATGCGTGTTCTAATGGTGACACATGGATTTCTGTACAAGAGAATGCATATCACACATAAAGACAATTTATGAAATTCTGGATAAATATTAGAGCAAAATATACACTGAAGGATATATCAAAACGTCACTTTGTATACCATACTATCAAAACGTTATTCAATAAAATCTGTACTTACTGGATAACTAAATTACTGAACTGTCAAATAAATTACAATTATAATAACGCATAAAAATTACTACTTAGTAATATCCCAATGTCTCTAGTCTGATATTTGACATAGCCTTAAGTATAACACACACAAAAACGCACTTTTTTCAATAAATTTGCTTAATGTGGGATCAACTAATAATATCAATCATTTGGAAAAGCTGCTTCGAACATATTGTAAAATGTACAAAGTCTTACATGTTTTAATAAACACATTTAACGCCAATCTAATCGAACATACGCTTCGGGTATGAATATATTTTGTTTTGACATTTATTTCGAAGCCGAAAACTTGAATGCAATGATTATTAATTTACAAATTATCCTCTGAGGGAGATTGTAAAGTGGATGTTCATAGAATAATTTATTTTCAATATCAGTCATTACAATACTATGTAGATTAATGTATTTTATTGTTTTATAAAAAAAAAATTACAACAAAAAATGCATTATGTTATTTGATTGACTCTGGAATACACACAATGCTTTGTGCTATGAAATTAATAATCATGGCTTTTCCTAGTATTATAAACTGGTTTTCACTGAATATTAGCCAATTTTCACAACGTAAATTAGCAATTACTATCGTATAAAAATACATTTTTTTAGTTGAGTTATCTTTAACGAAATTAAAGTATAGCTCGAAACGAAATTAATGGCGCTGCGATTCCAGTTGTTGTTTGAGCTCAGTGTTTTCTTGAGGTTTGAGTACATAACGCTCAAAGCACATTTAGCGCTCAGTGATCCATCGGGAAAGTTTCGAAGCAAAACATTACACTTTGATTGTTCAGTAGTTTAAATTTCTTTTATTTGACATGTCTTGTTTATTTAAGTATGGGATTAAACGTTATTCCTCTTTCCAGTGTAAGAGATTTCAAATTAAAACTATTTTAATGATCGTTACAACCAAATTTCATTCATTTTAATGAACTTCATATTACGTTAAGGTATTAATTTTCCTATTTCATATCATTAATGAAGAGGGGTATGTCTGCGGACTTACACCGCTAGAAACCGGGTTTCGATACCCGAGGTGAGCAGAGCACATATAGCCCATTGTATAGCTTTGTGCTTAATTACAACCAAATAAAATAATGAAGAAAGTATGAATAAGATACCCATTTTACCAAGCACAAGTTATTTCTAAGACATAACTAGGTAGGTATATTAATAATAATTTAACTCTGCAGGCTTTAACTAAACCACATTAAAATAAAATACCCCCTCCCCCCCAAAAAAATAGATTAGATATTGATCCATGCCTAAGGAACGTGCTTTTTGATCTAAATTTTAAATGCATGCAATGGAAGAAAAAAAACTGAAGGTTGAAACAAGCGTAAACATTTCAATGAAGTCAGTACCATAAAGCCGGATTGTGCCCTCAGTTGAGCCTAATGAGTTCTTGGCAAAACAATGAAACAATCCAAAGTCTTCTGGTTCTACGTTGTTTATTATCAAAATCATGTGAACTCTGTATGTTTCTTCTTCTTTCTTAACTGTATACTTCTGACTATCCACAATCATCTCGCCTTTTTTTTTGGTCCAGTAATTAATAGAAGCTGGAAACGCCTCAGTATGGCAATCTATCTGAACATTGCCCCCTATCGGAGAACCAACTAATTGGTTGGGAATCCAGATCATCGGAGGAACTGAAGAGAAATAGGTATTTATCTTCAACAAACTATAATTTGCAATTATTCAACAAGATCTTTACACAAACATTTCTAATAACGATTGTTTACTTAGCCATAAAACAAACACATAAGACTCTGTAAGGTGAATAAAGGAACATACATATATATTTATTAACGAGTTGTGTTGAGAAAGAAACAGGATATAATTTCCTCAATGCATTCCATACTAAGTATGTTAGACTTCTGTTGCTCCGTGAACTTCATCATGTGAGTATGGTAAAATGAAGGATGTAGTACTACAAACCCAGTTGTTTATGGCTGCTTTAAGAAGCAAGCTGTCTAGAAGTGTTGCCTAGGCAACATACTACCTTTTAAAAGACAAAAAGATGAAAGCACAGAATGATTTATCTGGTTTACATGAAGAGGAACTGTAAGTCCGAACCTCTCAAATGCAGTCGCTATACGACCCATATGAGATTGGCCATTATCGACCGTAACTTATTCACGTTAAGCGCATAAGAAAAAGGGCATTTCCTTGTGAACACCCACGTATTCTAAAAACTAGGAACTTTTCCAGCTAATTAAATGACGTATTGCATAAATGTTGCCACAAAAGTTTCCATAAGTTATTTTAAACGTATTTTCTAAGAATATTTTACTTATTTGAAGAATTAAAAAAATAACCTGATTTTGTTTCTGAAACGATTACATCGTTGAAACCGTTCCTTCTTTCTTTAGGATTTATCTTGGGCATTTCAACAAACATGTTTATAAACGTTATTACAAACTAAAACATCAGTTTTCTGCAATGAGTTTAAAGTTTTGTTCAAACAGGTGGAGTTTCTTACAATGTACTTGGAGGAGAATGCGCTTGCTTATCGAAGGCTGCACTCCATTAGAGGCCACACACAGGAAAGCTCCCATGTGTAGTCGGCTCACTCTTCTAATGCTCAGTTCCATTCCTTCGTAAGTCTTTCCTGAAACATCAAAACAATAAAGATCTCATTGAAACTTCTACGAAATCCACACATTTCTCTGTCCTATAGTCGTCCATTCCCATGGTAACTGCATGTAGATACTTAAATAATGTTAGACGCGAATAAACTGGAGTAACAAAATTCGAAACAATATCATATATAGAGTTATACAGAATAGATATACATTTTTATAAACAATTAGTTAATTGTCTGATGATTTTTAAGTATACTTAATGCACTTGAAGAAAATATCTATATAATTGTTTCCCTCAACAATATTACGTTTATTAACATGAATCGCTGTGAGGCCACTTATAGTCAATCTCGCTCTCCAGTTAATAGTGGTCGAATAGGCGGCGGGTGCTGCTAACTGGTTGCCCTCTCTTTCTGGTCAGTAGCTTTAAATTAGGAAACGCTATGCTTGAATTAGCCGTTTAGCTCACGCTTCACAAAAGTGTTCAAGTTGAGTTTAGACTCGGATGTCTTTTATAATAAGATCAAACAAGAACATCTGTTTTTGTGACAGACATTAATATGTTTACTGATAAACTGCTAAAATTAAAATTCATTTAGAAGTATAAATATCATGAAAGTTAGTTTGTTTGTTAAACACAAAGCTACGCAGTGGACTATCTGTGCTGTGCCTACCACATATATCAAAACTCGGTTTTTTAGCTGTGTGAGTCCTCAGAATTACCGTTGAACCAGTGGGGGCATCACGAAAGAAATAGCAAACATTGGTGTATGTAATGTACTGGAACTGGCGTACATGGCCTGCTGCTGACCGAATCTGATTTATGAACTGCTATAGACTAAAACAATGAGCATTTATTTTCTTCTATTTATTAACATTGGAGTTATATTATGTGGAAAATTACTTTTTCTTTCGAAACATCTGATTTCTTTTTATTCGACAATAATAGCAAATAACGGAAGAACAAGAAAAAGTCTTCAATGTTCTTTTTTGTGGTATAAATTCTTATTTTGCCCAAAACTGAAAGAAGTTACTTTCGTAATGATTTCTCGTCTAAATTCAAACATTGAGTAGCGTTGCATGAATTAAACTGTAGATAAGTTTGTCAAGTCATTTGTAATTTTTTATAATTCTTTCGTTACAGTTTGGTTATTTAACACCCAAAAATTTTAATATAGTACTGATACTTTCACCTGAATAACACCTTAGGTTCCCAGATAACTGGCCCAGAAAGAGCACTATTTGGATTCGTATATTGCCGTCTCCAGTTTTAAACTGCTGACCATAAGCAAGATGGTCAATCAGGTCTAGGCTGAACCTGACCCTCTCTGGTCCAAAACATGGACCGAATCCAGATGAAGAAAAAGAAGGTCGATCAGCAGCACTCACGGCTACAAGGGTTTTATCCGGCTTTAAAGCGAATTATGGGATTTACTGTTATTCTTATAACGCACAAGAAGCTGAAAATACGGAACGTTTTAAGCAGCATCGCGGGATTCTAATCTGTGGCCCACGCCAAACCCATTCTTGTTAATTCTGACCTAAAATATCTTGTACACAGAGTAACTATATGTTTTCAAATTTGCAAGCATATTATAACGAATGTATCATAATTACCTTTTTGAGAAAGTTAAATTAATTGAAAATTTTTCGATTATCAGAATTAATTTTTTAAAATAAATTTCGGTAAAGTGGTTTTACATTTAGCTTTTGCGACAAAACTTTCAAGTACAATACAAACATAATGATGAAAAAATATACCTTACTTTTTAATTCCTGTTAAAGTTGTGCACAAAAGAGTAGAAATAAAAAAAGCTTTCCTCTGATTTTAATTTTTATTTAATCCATTGCCTTACTATTTGTCCCTTACAATTTTGACCAATCAATACTATTCTTTGGAAAATAATGAACAACTCGTAATACATAATGAAACATGTTTTATTTTATGTATGATTATAAGACAATAAGATTAATTGATTGATTAGGAACAATAGATTCGACGACAGGGTAAGGCAGTGGGTTAAGTACATTCTAAACAGTAGTTACCTTGTGTTTTTGATGCTTAAAAATTATAGATTATGGGCTGTGCTACCAAATCTAACATAGAACTTTATCGTCATGCATTGTCATTCATACCCGTAAATATTGTTTTTCGTTAGATTTTATAAAAACAACAACAAGTTTTGAATTATTCAGTGGCAAGGTTTCCTGTGTGTACATTGGGCAAGGTATCCTTTTGTTACAAAAAGCTCTATCACAGAGATCTCTGAGATTATGTAAATAATTACGATCAATTTGGATGTGCCTAAATGGTTAACTTCCCCGGATTTCGAATCCGAGGATTCGCAGTTCGCGATTCACTGGCACAAAAATGCGCTCCGTACTATTAGGCCGGGGTCGCGGGTTTGAATCCCCGTTACACCAAACATGCTCGCCCTTTCAGCCGCGACTACGTTATAACAGTGACGGTCAAATCCACTATTCAATCAAACAAGGGTAGCCTAAGAGTTGACAGTGATTGTTTATGACTAGCTGTTTTTCCTCTAGTCTATCAGTAGAAAATTAGGAACAGTTATGTGTAGATAGCACTTGTGTAATTTTGTCCGAAAATTTGAAACAAAAACAAACGAATAAAAAACAAGAGAATAATAAAAGAATATTTGAAGACATAAAGTTAGTCATGATCTGCAAGGTTCGTAATTCTTCCAGTTTTCTTTAAAGTTTCTGTTTAGAGCATGAAAGATCAAGTTACCATTTTATAAACCATAAGAATGTATTTTTTAGGTTCAAATTACTTCTTCACGCCAATGAAAGATAATTCAAGAGTAAGAATAAAAATCAAATTAATAACATACAAATAGTTTACAGTTTACAGATATAAATGTTTTATGTTACAGAATCTGGGGTACCCGTTCTTTTTCCGGGTTCTGGAATTAACATAATGTGTGGTTGGATGCTATGATAAATAACAAAAAAGTCCTAACGTTCATAGAATTTATTTGTAACATAACATATTATTACAGTATTCATTATTACCTCACCAAATGTGAGTTCATAAGCTTTAAGAACTTAATAATTGTACAGTTAAAACATGTGCGATGGTCAGGGTGACTTTGTAAGAACAGATAGCGGCCAAAGTAGTACCGGTAGAGTGCTTTCTGTTACCCGCTTTCAACACCCAACTCTTAATGTCCTTGCACAGTGTTTCACATGATTAACTGATAAATGATCATTGACCGTAAAAGTGTTTTACTGGGCGAAATTGAAAGGTCACGGGTCAAAGTAGAAAGTTGGTATAACGGCGGCTTTTCATATCAGCCTTATGGTGGCTGTTGGAGTAGAAAATTCAGCTGAATTTATGTAGTACTGCAATAGCGGCATACATTTTTTCATTGCATTCCTCCATAGAGAGTACTAGCGCACTCTCTGAGATGTATAAGACGTTTGTGTGTCCTCCCATCTCACACTGTGTGTATGTTGGGTTATAAAAAATGTAATAAAGCTTTTTTTTTCGGTGTAAAGAAGTGGTGCCATCTATAAATGTAGTTAACGTTAACTTAGTCAAAAATAATAAATGCTCAATAACAGGTATAATGGGTGTAGAGGGAGTCGTGAACACCCAATTAACATGCTCCTTGTTCCAAATATCATCCCACAAAGTTTGGATGAGATTGGCCCAGGGACCTAGGCCTAGTTTGGTAACTGACAGACAAACAAACAGACACAGATTTTTGTGCTTTATATATGTATATAGATTACCGTACTATTTATGTTCAAGGCGTAAGATTAGGTCTAGTTAAAGCTACTTATAATGCTTGGAGACGGCTTGAATGGGTAATGAAGAAAAACATAATATAAGTTTAACATAACAGCAAATGTACATACGTTTCGTACAACGGTTTAGTTCGTATCTATCAGTTTTCGTTTCTATTACCTACTTACTACGACCGTCGTCCACGACACTATTAGTTACTCTA